TTGTTAGTTACATGGTCGCGCTCGACGTCAGCCTCATCAATTTATAGGTAAAAGGCACAAAATAAATCGCAAATAAAAGTAAATTACAATTATAAGTTCCATTATTATGATTTTAACATTAAAAATTTGTTTAGCTATGCATGTCCAATATTTAAAGGCATTTTTCTTAACGTTTTAATTTTTATTATTTTGTGTCCTTTTATTTATACATTGTATTTGACTTATTCTGTTGCTGAATGGATCGACTTCTTACGTTCAATTTCTTGCAGAATCGCCGATTATGGGTCTAAGAATCAGATTATAACCTCGATTACCTGATCCAGCGTCAACCAACAAAATTGCCAGACGCGACACTCACTACAAACCAACCGTTACCCATGTACTTTAAGTTTAAATATGTGGCCTTTCGACACCGATTAGTATAACTTAAATTAGACAGTTTCATTGACAAGCTTCAACTCTTTCGTTAATGAAATTCAATGATTGTAGCTATATTTAGTAGAAATTTAAATAGAATGATTGCCGACTAGACCGTAAAGATGAAAACATTTTAGTTCGAGTTTTGGCTTCAAATTGAATCGGATCAATGTATCACTAAACTAATATGCATGTAGTCGTTCATGAATATTTATTTGTATATAAGTAGAGATTTAATTTACGTATATATTTAGTGCACATAGCCACGTTACATGGCGTAATTCTAAAAGTAACAACGCAACTCTTATTAAACATAACTGATTAAAATAATACCATGTTGATTTATATGTTTGCATGCAATGCATATGGATTAATTAAGCGTCTTTTACGCATATTTATGTACTATATACCACAAAAGAGAGACGAAATCTTTTAATACTGGACAATTCAAACATTACCGAACTTCAATGTTCGATGTTCGTGAAAAGGCTGTGATTCTACACTCATGAGAAATATATTTATACATAAGAGACACCAATTTACATTATTTAGTTTCATTATTTCAAGTATTACAAAAACAAATTGTTTTTACTTTGTTGCATAATCAAATTAATCTTTTATACTTTCCTTTAAAAAAAAAATCAATTTAGTTAATATAATCACATAGCTGTTCTAAACTTTTTACCTTAATTATATGTATATCGTTTTGATAGAGAACCGTATAACAACAATTAAAACTACAATAACATTGTGTTAAAAAGAATAAAAATTTAGCTGAATATATACATTGTTGAAAAGCAAAACAGAATAAAAACAAAAATTTTTAAAAATAAATGTATATTTACTAAATAAAAAAAACCAAACCAACTATTAATTCCGTCAGTTGACCTTTTTTGTATATCATAGCAAAGCGTTTTACAATTTTGTGCCCAATGTAAAGCCCAGATGAAAACCTTACCTATATATTTGTATCTATATCGAAAATTGAGTTTTTATGAGAACAGTTAAGTATTGAATAAACACACATGTATAGATTATGAATTTTGGGTCCTCGAAAACTATTTTTTCTCTGATCTTCCTTTGCAGACAATAAATTGAGTTACAGAAGCTAAAAACCAATTCTTTTGCTTTCGCTTAAAACAATTTTCAAACCACTAATCCATTGCGAAGTGTACTTTTTTAGTTAATTGTCAAATTATCGTGTAACCTAATCGAAAAATCTTTTAACCATTTGCAAGCCTATTAGGAATATCCCAATGTCGCGGTATACAAAAAACAAAAAAAACAAGCTGTGTAAAAAATTTAAAATTAATTTATTAAATACATAACATACGTTTACTTAGATATGGCCTATTTATCTATAATATACCACAGGGTTTCGAACTAGACGAATGGTAAACGAGAACATATATTACGCAGACTACAATTCCTTGTGATCAACGCCGAGGTAAGAATTGCCGAGGAAATCAAGCTCCGCACTATTAGCAATAACGCGCGCGATGTCGTGGGGTAGCAAGTTCAGTTCTATATTGGCTGCTGCAGTAGGCAGCGTCTCTATTGCATGCGGTTGTTGCTGTTGGCGCAATTTGGCTGAGACGGCGCGTCTCACCAACTTTTCTATAAACATTCGAAGAACGTGTGCTAAAAGTGTGATCGCTAGGGACTGCGAAACACCTGGGACGCTCTGTTCTGTATGTAGGACTATGCCTACATCTTTGCACATGTCCCGTACAAGCTGAGTGGCAGCATCCAGCTCCTCAGGTGGTGGTAAATATAGCATATGATGGTTTAATGGATTGTCAAATAAATTTCGGTGCCCCTGAATCCGTGAACTGGGTGGAGGCAGGTTTTGCACATCAACTAACACTTCATCGTCCAATCTATGTTCCCGAATTTGCAAGCTTATTATCTTTTTAGTTAACCAACTATCTAAACGGGATCTCGAGGTGAGACTGCAGTATTCCAACAGTTGCGATTGGGGATCCTCTTGCAGCTGTTGTTGAACACGCTCCGACAACGGCAAGACTGCTGAGGATGCTTTTTTTCTGGCAACACAAAGCACTTTTAAAGGCGGCGTGTATCCGTGTAGACGTGCAAAGGCCACAATTTCTCGCGTGCTCCAAAATAACTCCTTTCCACTGGAATGCAGGTGCTGCAGGCGTAGATGTTGGCGCATGCAGCGTAACAAAGTACGCCCTCGCATAAATTCGAAGAACCGCTGGCGCAAAGCGGGCTGTGCCATGAATGCTGTCAGTGAATGAGTACCAAAGGGAAACTCCTTGATCGATGAGCCTGCCAATGGCAGGCGCCGAAGCAAAAACTCCACAGCGCTACGCATATTCTGAAACTGAATGCCGCAAAAAAGATGTTCGAGAGTCAAGCGTTGGCTAAGCGGCGGTGCAAGCGGGGGAGGCACTTCCTGGCTACTCATGTTAGCATAGCCGTGATCGTTTTGGATGCATTGCAGAACGTGCCACCGTTTGGATAGCTGCTGTGTCGGCTGCTTGAGCAAACTCAGTTGTGGCTTGAGAAGCGACTGCTGCTTGGCGGCCTGCTTCAACTTTGATTGCTGCGGATCAATAATGTATAGCTTGCCTTCCTTTTGAAAGATAACGTTCTTAAATTGCGATGCAGTGTGTCCTTTGCGCAATTGCGCAACCATCGCTTGCGGCTTTTTGTTACTGGTGTTCCCATTCATGGATGAATAAGCAACAGCCAAGCAGGGACTAATAGCAGCAGAATTATTGACGGAATCAAGGCGCAGTGGCGCTTCACTTGGCCCAAGCAGCTCTGCAGGCTGTTTTTTCGGGCTGTTCAGCTTTAATGACTCTGAGACAAGCGCAGTGGGTTCGATCTGCTTGATATCGTCGCTTAACTCGATATTTTTGACAGGAGCAATTAAATTATCATCCAGATCTTCTTTCTGCTGTGTTATTGAAATGGTTAACGGCATGGAAGTGTTCTTTAGCAAAGAAGGCGCATTTTTTGCTGCTGTTGTATGCAGCTCTTTCTTTACAATTCTTGGCGGTATCGTGTCTACTGTCGCAGGCGCATCGGAACGCAACCAAACCTCTACAGTTGTCTCGCCCCCCATTGTGTGCAGGCCGCACATAGTTTTGTCCAAAACAATGGTGTGCATTAGTTGGACTGGCTTCTGCTGCAGATGCTCCTGAAAGTAAAGCTGAATTCGCATTGGGAATTCTCCCCAGCCTCGACGTGTCAACTGAAAGGGGGGAGAATGCACGTCCACAATGTCGTTGGGCCGATACGAGTGATGCAATTGGAAGCGCACCTAATAAATGAAATGTTATGTTTATACGCGGACAACAATCGAGCGCTCTCCACTTACCTTTTTTAAATACGCTTCCGGTGGCTGCGGCAAGTTTTTGCCCTGAACATAAACAAGCCATTTGTAAGCTAGCGCTTGGCCGTTTCGGACACTCGAATCAGCGCCTCCTAGGTACTTAGAGGTGTTGCCTACCACAAAGAAGAACTTGTTTTTGTTATTCAGGCGTGAGGCATTAAGGGCGGATAACGAAGAATCAAACTCCTTTTGAGTCTTATAAGCCTGTCTGCTGGTGCACGGTTGTTCTTCACAGCTGGTCACATTCAGATCATTTTTGTTCTCCTGCGAGTGATCCGTAACAATACCCTGCTCGCGAATTTTCTGCTGTCGTCTACGCTCTGCTCGACGATTTGCAGGGTTGCGCAGTCGAATTGTCTGCTTCGCCAGCGTTGCAGCTGTGCGCTCGGGCAGGTTTAATTGTAAAGGCGCAGGACGCTTACCCACAATTTTCTTGACTGCCGGATGCAACGGCAGTTGAGCTCCAGCATGCTCAAGCCCATCTCCAAACAACGTATCTCTGGATCGTACCCTAGACACGTCTGCAGCTGTCAACGGTACTTGCTGCTTTATATAGTACTCGCTGACGACATGGTACCTCAATTTGTCCAGTAGCTGGCGTGCCTGATAAAGACGCGCATCAATCTCGCTCAGCTGTTGTTCCTTAAGGGTTAATTCCCTTTGGAATTCGGCACGCACAATTTCCTCAAATTTCTTCAGTTGCGCCACGCTGTCAAGATTAAGACCAGTTCGATGAGGGCTGATTCTCTCAGCCTGCTGGTTAAGGGCCTCGCCATCCTCTTCGTTTTCTTGCTCACGCTTAACGCGCTTCGTATCTTTGGAAGCACTGGTGGGGCTATCGTAACCGAACCCATAATCCGGATCATGATACTCACTGTGCCTTCGTTTCCTTGGCGCTGTCGTTGATTTTGACGGCGTCGCCGTCGAATTCTCCATGTGCGTGTGAACGCTATTGTTGTAGCGGCACACCCTAAGGACTTGTATCACCTAGGTTCAAAATAAAACAGCTGAAATATGATTTTATGCTGTCTTTTGCACATTTATGCTTCTGTTGGTACTAAATTACCAAATTTAATAAATAAACGCGCAAAATGTTTGTTTTTTGTCTGGCATTGTTGATACTAGCCGATATATCGATATATTTGGTATTTTGATATCCAGCACTGTTTTTGGGGAGCCATCTTTCGTTATGCAGCACTGCTCGAATTATCTGGGTTTAACGCGGGAAAGAAGAGCACGACGCATTTGCACTAAATATTAACATAGTTGCAATTGCTACATTGAAATAAATAGACTGCAATATGGTCGAGCGGATTGAAGACTTAAATCTACCTAATGCTGTGATTGCCCGATTAATTAAAGAAGCCTTACCGGAGGGTTCCAATGTAAGCAAAGAGGCGCGTGCCGCAATCGCGAAAGCAGCGTCTGTTTTCGCAATATTTATAACTTCATCCTCGACGGCATTGGCGCACAAACAAAACCACAGGACCATTACAGCCAAGGATATTCTGCAAACACTCAACGAACTGGACTTTGAAAGCTTTGTTCCGTCGTTGACACAAGACTTGGAGGTCTATAGAAAGATGGTAAGGGACAAGAAGGAGAGTAAGGCCAAAAAAGATAGCAGCGCCGGAGATGCCATTGCCAGTAGCAGCGCTGCGGCAGCTGCCGCCGGAAATGAAGACGCCAACTAATAAGAGCAAAAAAGCAGAGCTACAACTGTCGCTAGTAACATTTGGTGACGCACTACTCTTAATGAGCATTTAATCGCGTTATATATATATACATAATAGTGTGTTAATACTTGTAAGGGATATGTTTCTAGTATAGTTCATCTTATAAGTAAAATCTAAAAAGTAAGCAAAATACATGTTTCGGATACACCATTGTACTGACTCGAAAACTCTTAGTCCGTAATGCCATAAATATAAGTACATGTGTAAATTAACATGATTTAACATTATATAAATCCTATATCTTATTCGATGTTTCGAGATCAAATTCACATCTAAGAATCTATATAAAAATTCACTTAAGACATGTTTCACACTTGCAAAATCCAATATATTTTCATCTGCAACTGTGGTAAATTGCAAATCGCTTCAAGATTCTCACCATAGGACACATGATTGGATAAGCATTGATTCCAGCTTATGGTTATCCACATAAAGTAACTACAGTAAATATTTCAGGTTACTAGCATAGATATCCTTTGGATATTTATAAGGAGCTCATATTTAAATCGGTATTTCTTTCTTTTAAGCACCTAGTTATTCCTAGGAATCCAGTTGTGTAAATGCAGATGTAAATCGAGCGGATTCTTTAATTTACGATTTTTACTTTTACGATTAATCGATAACTTAAAAGTATCGTTTGACGTTCATCTCAAGGAAGGCATCGTTAGACAAGTTTTGTTGCCTATTTCATCCGCCTAGAGTCGACCAATTTTGGAAACCGACAAAGACTGATCCAAAATAAAGCCGATTTTTAGATATGTGAACTTCTCCAAATATTTACTTGTATACAAGTCAAAAAGTATTGTTTGCCCTATTTGCAATTTGTATATTCGTAGGAGTTTTGCATGGTTTCTTGAAATACAATTGTTTGTTACTTCACGTTGCTTGCTTTAAATTTGTTATATCCTAAGAGAGATGGGTGTCACTGGCTTATGGAAGCTAATAGAGCCTTGTGGAAAACCAGTGCCTGTGGAGACATTGGAGGGAAAAGTGCTTGCCGTTGGTAAGAGCTATATTTTCATTAATTGTGCAAGCTTAATTGGTAACCGGCAAATATTTTAACGGAATGATCTCATCTTTCATACAGATATTTCCATATGGCTTCATCAGGTTGTAAAAGGTTTTCAAGACAGCAAAGGATCGGCTCTAAACAATGCGCACCTTTTGGGCCTATTTCATCGCCTGTGCAAATTACTCTACTACCGTGTGCGGCCGGTGTTCATATTTGATGGCGGCGTGCCGCAACTAAAGCGCGATACAATTGTCAGTTTATCTTGCTTGTTGGTCTGCAACTTATTTTACAAATGTATCCATTCTCTTTTTTGAATTATCAGGCGCGTCGCCAGCAACAACGCGGCAAAATCAGCAACGAGGCTGATCGCATACAGGCACTGCTGCTGCAATCGTTGGCCAAGGAGAAGGTGGTGCAACAGGCATTGGGTACAAATGCAGAGCTACTGCTGAAGTCGCCATCAAAACGGGCAGTTGCGGGAAAGTCCAGCAAAAATGATGAAGACGATCTCTTCAAGTTGCCAGAACTACCAGAAGCATCCGCTGCTCAAAACGGCGAATCGGACTGCGAATTAGATAATCAGGAGTATACAAGTGGAAACGCTACTTCGGACAGTTCCTTTGATGAGTCAACCGCACGGCATACTTATAATGCCAGCTTGCAAGGTATCGATGTACGTAGCCAGCACTTTAAAAGCCTGCCAGCCGATATACGGCATGAAATATTAACAGACATTAAAGAAACGCGCAAGCAGTCGTCCTGGGGTCGCCTCCATGAGCTCCCAGCACGAAGTAATGACTTTTCCTCTTTCCAAATGAAACGATTATTAAAGCGACGCGCCGTTCAGGAAAGCCTCGAGCAAGCGCAACAAGAAATGGGCGGCCACACTCTGACGTATGCAGAGCTGTCGGATTTTTTCAGCGAAGAAGGTATTGTCACGCCCACAGCTATTGAGCAGAGTACGCGTCAAATAAGTTCCGATGAACACACCCGATTCTTGTTAGTACGGGATCTTAAGAAAAAGACTATGGAGGATAGTCATAGAGTGGCGCACAAGAGCTTTGAGACAATTGCCGAAGAAAGCGCTTCGTTTGCCTTGGAATCTGATGAAAGTCCTGGTACGTCGACGAAAACGGTAACCGTGAAAAAGTCGCCCCCACCTAACGATACACTCAATAAGGAACCGGGCGCTGCACCTAATGGTGATTATGAACTGGCATTAGCATTATTTCTTGATGAATCTGGAAAAGTATACGACGAGGAGGACTATAACTATAATACGGATCAGGACTTGCGCCTAAATCGCGAACAAAGCAAGTGCTTGCGCCATGCTGCCAAGGGACCAGCGCGAGCGTATATGATTGAATACGCTGGTATGAACGACGAGGAGGTGGAAAACATCATGGAATCAACACAATTGAATGATACTCAGAGCTTAGAGCGTTTTCTTCATAACAAAAGTGCTGATGATAAGATAACAGAAGTGGATATGGCAAATAATTCTATTGAAAAAGTCAAACAAGTCTCTTTGGCTGTTGAAGGGAGAAAAAATGAATATCTCGACAAACCAGATTCAGTTCAAGCCATTGACAGCGATACTGATTCAGACTTGGAAGAGGTTACTGACACAAAGGAAATGCCTGCAAAAACTGTCCTCGAAATTTGTGTAGGCATTAAAGATCAATTGAACCAAGAGGATGATCTCTTTTCGGACATTTTTAAAAATGAGTACCAGGTAAAGGCTGGTGTCCTCCAGGAAGCTGATGCAGAAGACACAAAGGATACTGAGAAAAGTAACATGTGTGCGAATCAGGCAGATAACAACGAACGTGGAGATTATAACAGCACAGATTTGAAAATAAAGTGTAAAAATGTTGCCAAGTTCATTGATTCAAATGATTCGAAAGTAAAGAATAGTGAAGAAAGCAAAATCCTAGAACAGAAGTCAGTTGAAACTATTGTGATACACGACAAAGAGAAACAATCTGACTTTAATGCAAAAATAACAGAAAAAGAGGTCGAACTAAGCTCTATACTTTCTGATCTTAAAAGGCAAACAGAAGAGATTAAAAATACTAAATTCGATCTCTCCGATGAAAAAGAACAGCCGAATGTTGGTCTGACCTCTATACTTAGTGAGCTAAGGCGACAAACGGATGAAGTGAAGAATATAAAGCTGGAGTCTGTTAAGGTAAACAATAGCATGGCTATTGAATTATCCTCCGACGATGAGCCCGCCAAAGAAACAACCTCTCCCATATCCAAAGATATTATTGAGCTTTGTGACAGTGATAACGAAATGAATCGCACATCGCCAAATAAGACTCCCAGCAAGAACAAAGCAATAACCGATTTCTTTCAGACTACATATAGTATAAAACGCACTCCCGATAAGCCAGCGGAACCACATATTACTCCTCCCGCATCTCCAATGGTACCCAAGCCGTTCTACGTAAAGCGTACACCCAAATCGGAACGTAAGGGTGCAGGAAAGGAGCTGAGGGACAATTCCGTCTCACCCAATACGAAATCTAGCAAAGCTGCAAAATCGCTGTTTAAAGAAAATGAAGGGAAGGATGTGGCTAAGCCAGCTATCACCAAGGTATATACTTATACACTTATATTTCAATTAGCAAGAATAACAGTCAAAATTTTGGAAGATAGATCTGTCAGCTATTTGCTCACCATATAACTGTGTAATAATTTGGTGTATTTTAATCAGTAAATGTGTTTGTGTTTGCAGGATATCCTTCAAGAAGCAGCGGAAGCTTTAAAAACTCAAAAGACAGCCGAGGAACTAGAGACAATGGCTACAAGTTTGGCCCGTGAGCGCCGTGAGTTGGAAGCAGAACGTAATCGGCAGGATCGAATGGGCATGTCCATTAGTCAACGCATGAGCAATGATTGCCAGGAGCTGTTGCGCCTGTTTGGCATACCATACATTGTGGCGCCAATGGAAGCAGAAGCACAGTGCGCCTTCCTCAATGCCGTAGGGATAACTAATGGTACCATAACGGACGATAGCGATATCTGGCTTTTCGGTGGTCGTACAGTATACAAAAATTTCTTTGCTCAAAATAAGCATGTGCTTGAGTTTCGAGCCGAACAGATTGAGCAGACATTTAATTGCAGCCGCGATAAGCTTATTCAGCTTGCCTGTCTCGTTGGCAGTGATTATACCACAGGTCAGTTAGAATACGCCACATCTGGCAAAGCGTTGTCACGAATTTATGTTTTTCAGGCATACACGGCATTGGCGCTGTAACTGCTCTTGAAATACTCGCGTCCTTTTCGACTTTAACTCCAAACACTGGACCTACAACCTCGCCTCCATCCTCCAGTAGGCCAGGCGCTGTGTCCATGCAGTCTGTGCTGTCCACTTTAGTAAAGTTTCGAGACTGGTGGCAGGCGCATAAGAACGCCAACATACCTATCGGTAGTTCTGCACGTCTTTCGCTGCTCAAGAAGCTCAAGAACATCGAGTTGCATGAGGGCTTTCCCAGTTCGTCCGTAGTGGAGGCCTACTTAATACCCAAGGTGGATGAAAACCGTGACGCTTTTAGTTGGGGATCTCCCGATATTGAGTCTATACGCGAATTTTCGCGCAAATTCTTTGGCTGGACCACCTCGAAAACAGATAACATTCTTATGCCGGTCATAAAGAAAATCAACGAAAAGAAGATACAAGGCTCGATACGCAATTACTTTACAGCGAAGAGCGCGCTGCGAGTGCAGCAACCACAGGTCAGCAAACGTGTTCAGACGGCAATCGATAAAATGTCTGGTAAGATTGAAACGGAAACAACGGAGCAATTGAACCGGCCAAGCCGTCGAGCACGTAAAAAGAAGGCAGCCGAACCGCAGGAAGATGCAACAGACGAAGATCGTCCTGCTCGTCCAAAGTGCGTCAGACGGAAAGCAACGACAGCAACAGCCACAGTCACAGCCACAGCCAACAGAGAGGTAATACCGCAGAGAGAACGAGATTTAGAGCAAATGCGTCAAAACAAGGCAAAGGCAGCAGTTATCTTAAGGGCAAGTGCCAAGGCTTCCAAATAAATTATTTCCATATTTTGCTTAAAATATATTTTTATTTCCCCTGTAACTTCTTATGGCGCTTTCGTCTAGAATAGTTTTTTTTTTTGTTATTTACATTCATGCCAGTCGACTGTTTGTTCGAAATAAACAGTACTTAAGAACTCAGTACTTTGAAATAAAACTCAAAAGAGCAGTTATACAAACAAAAATTTATTGTTAAACGTTTAAATTACAAAAAAAAAATAATTACCTTAAGATATGTTTAAAGTTAAACCTGTTAAACGCGTTCAGTATCAGCGTTTGCTGATAGATAAGGATCGCATATTAAAACGATTGCATGGTTTTCGAAAATTAAGGATAATATTGCTGAAAACAGTTTTTGCACTTTTGATAAACGTACAACGGAAATCACAGTATGCGACAAGCAATCAGGCACTTCAATCTTTAAAGCAGTGTAGAGAATGGTTGACTGATTGCTTAGAATCATTACAAAGATTGCACCATAAACGTTCTAAATGTAATATTATCGTTCCAAATATTGAATATAAGAAGGGTTCCCAAAATGTTTTAGGAAGATACATTGCAAGCCTGAAGAAAGTATTAAACAATTATGAAAATTATCAAACAACCATGCATCCCATGGCACATAGGACTACAACCAGAAACAATTTGAAAAAAATGTTGATCGAAAACATGGGAGTTATGCAACTAGCTATTCGAATGTTGAGAATCTTTATGAAAATGGGCAACAATGTGTTCTTCAAAGCGAACGAAAAAAAAATGAGTTCAAAGAAAGTTCCATGTTCAAGTTTATCAACGGGGCAATGCAACAGTGGTCAAATTTTTCTACAAAAGAAAGAAAGTACTGTTGGGCTATTTAAAGAGGCAAATCTCAACAAGCAATCAATCGAAACTCACACTTCCCAGCGAGACGAAGATACTATTTCGGGCATTAGTCAGGCGGGAATTAATTCCTCATCTACGAATATAACCCAGTCTTCGAGACCGAGAGGAGGGGGAAGAGTCTCATCACAAAATTTCCAGGTGTCCAGAATTGATCTTACATATTCAGATACAAGTCAATTATATTTAAAGGGCCTACAACAACTTAGGAATAAATTGAGTTCAGCTTCCAAAACCAAATTAAGATCCGCAAATAGCCAGTTTAAGTCGATGTTTAAATTGCGTAAACATCACGAATGGGAAAAGCAATCGCCGAGCATGTCTGTGGTTTCAGAGGAAATAAAAGCGGATACAATGCAAGACACAGCAGCCGCTATCATTAATAGCTTATTTGATTATAAAAGTGGACCCAGAGCTTTAATAAAAAAAAGTTCAAAATACATAAGCGCTATTGACCTCCTTCATTTATATCAAGATAAAAAGGACGATGACAAAGTGGACCAGGTCTGGCAAGATCTGATCAGTGAGCATAACCAGCTCTTAGCGGCAAAGGATCGACTGATTTCCGATATTAAAGATGAGCTTAAAAAATTTTATCTAACAAAAATGCAGTTGCTGCTCCAAGCTCAAATTGGTAAATTACATCAAATTAAAAAAAGAAGGTTCCACGCCAAAAGTGCAAGCACATTTAGTATGACGAATTCTGTTGACAAAAACGACTGGAAGAGTTTGGAGAAAATTGAGATTTTGCAAAAGATGCATAAAATGTTCTTTAGCACGCTGCGGAAAAAACTAAGTTACCAACGTAACAACCCTAAGATACGAAAATTGCACTCACTGATTATGTCAGAAGAATTGCCAGTAAACGCGTCTGAGCACGATATTTTGAAAGAATACGAACGTGATCCGCACTTTTATAATGTTCTAATAATGTCACATAATAAAGATTCAGACCAAGATGCTAGTGTGTTAGCCATAATTGAACACAACTTTGAAAAAGTCATGTGCCGATTAGCTCGTCATAAGAGGCAGAAAAAGATGGGGCAATATTCTTCAAAGTGGAAACAACCAAGCATTGGTGATTTTTCATGGTACAGGGATGGTTTTGAAATCCTTTTGAAACAGGAAAAAGTCGGCGGATCTGCTGAGAGCAAAACTGTGTTAGTATTAGATGATTACTGTAAAGTGGAGCGAGCCAAGTGGGCCAAGTACTTTGCCGACCAAGAAAAAACACCAACAATGCTACACTTAGAAGACATACGCAACCAAAAACGCCAGGCACGTTCCGCTCAAAGGAGGACGGATCGAAAGTGTAAGATACTGCAGAAGAAAAGACCAAAGAGCGGAAGACCCCTTACCGCGCTGTATACGGCTCCCCGTCTAACACACCGCATGCGCCAGGCCGTCGATCGAATTGCAGAAGAAGCACAAGTGTCCACTGTGCAACGCACAAAGAGTGAAAAGCACTTTCCTGACCTTGAAGCGAACACCATGCCTTTATCGGAAGCAGAAGCAGGAGCAGGAGCACCCAATATTGCAGACGTTCTTCTAAGCTCTGCGTCCTGGACCAGTTGCTGCAGTAAATGCCGAAATGTTGACGAAGCTATGCCATATGGACGGGCACTTAAACAATTCTTTCGCACACATGAACAAATATTAACATTTGGGAACAGTTTTTGCAATGATACCTCTGCAAAGTAAATTTGGTAAAATACAAATTATGACTGTTTATGTTGATCCCGAATTCTAGAAATATAAATACTATAGATAGTATATTAATTTATATATTTTATTGAATTCTAATTTGCGTTCTGCTATAATTAACATTGTATTCTAAATTCTTTTTATTTTTACTCTAAATTCCCATACAATACAAAAAGTTATCCCGACAGCCAACATAAACGCGTCTAAGGCTCTCAACATAGCACGGAGTGGAAAACAATTCACCTGTCAGCTTATCCGACCATTGTATCTGACCATTACCCAAATTGGACAGCACAATTCGGCCATCCGTAGCGCAACAAAATACGAGATTATCGCTGGGTTCTACTGTCATTATTATGGGTGTGGCATAGACTGAGCCTCCTATATCCACTTTCCAATGGAGCTCAAGTGAAGTATTTTGACCCGTGCCTGTCTTACATCGCAAACAGTACACATGATGGTCAATGCATCCAAAGAGCACAAATGTGTATCCCATGTGAGTGGGCGGGGCCTTGACTACCAGCGAAGAGAATATATTACCCTCTGCCGCATGCGTAGCCAACTGAAAAATACAAAGTAGAAATATAGAAAATTGTATATTTTTTCCGGAACACGAGCTTACAATTTGTCCGCTATTTACATCGCAAGCATGCACACGACCGGCTACTTCGGCACAGACAAAAATTGTGGCACTGGAGTCCAGCAAGACGGGAGTAGCGAAAAAGGGTTCTTTACATTTATGCATCCACTGCACCGAGCCATCCAAGAGCGAGACGCGTGCATATCCACCATCTAGCGTACATATAATTACGGCTTGATCCTTGACCAGTTCCAGTGGGCTAGCAAAGATTGCTTTTTTTCCTATGCGCATGCACCAGAGTACTTGCTGGCGTACCGTCGACAGGCACATGACATTATAATCTTCTGCATAGCTGCAGACGACAATGCGGGATCCATCTGATGACAGGAAAGGCTGAGCCTTAATCATCCCGCCAATTTCTACATTCCATAAAATATCGCCAGTCAACGGGTTGAACCCATAGAGGCAACCGTCGTAGCAGCCCACCATGGCGAGCTGCTCGCTAAGGAATGTAACTTTGCATTCGATGCGGTCAGGTAACTTTATCGTGCTTTGCTCCCGACCCGTCAGGGTATCTAGCGTGCGCAATAACTTCGAATGGGCGCCCACGCACACATACCGACTGTCGAATTGGGCAACCGGCGAATCTATGCACTTGTTGAAATTTACCTTCCAGTAGAACTGGAAGTGTATGGCAGGCTTTTCAAAGCGTGTGATGATTAAGCCGCTGCTTGTGCTGCTGCCCGCCGCTGCACTGACTGTAGAGCTCAAAAGTGGCTCGATGGGCTTTAGTTTGGTGTTATGGGTTACCAGTTTGGCATTATCTAGGAAGAGCAAAACGGTGCGTAAGCTCACTTTTTCGTCCAGCAGTAACTCAAAAAGATGTCGCTGCTCGTCGTCAATGCACATCTGCAAGCCAATTTCGCGACACAGCGTTATGGCATGGAAAGATGTTCCGCCAGCATGTCGGAAACTCAGGTCATAACCGCTAAGATTGGTAAGCGAATCAGTCTGCTCTAGCCGAAGTTTTTTTGGTGTTCTCTCATTTTGCACGTCCACGCACTCGAGCCTATCATGCAGAAAACTTTTTAGTATATCTTGGGCTGGCTGCGCTAGGAGTGTACACTCTTTAAGCAAAAGCATCTTATCCAGCTTGCCATGTGCATTACAGGGAAAGTGTTGCAAGTAAACGAATCTGTCAGGTTGCTCAACAGCCATTAGCTTGCTTAGTATTTCAAAGGTCTGCGCCCTTCTCTGTACCTTTGTCTTAGGCTCCAGACTTCGAATGCAACAAATTAGCTTTTGCAGATCCTCCAGCCATAGACAAGTAGCCAGTTCGCAGCTATGCAAGCATTTCTCTATCTTGCACGTGATGAGTCCTGTAACGGGGGTAATCAGTAATCCTTACATCTCAGTGTTTAAGTCCGTCATACCCAGGCTGATGCGGTTACCTGCACGCTTAACCACATCATTGGCGCGTTCTTCATAAGCTATAGAGCCGTCTTCAAACCTTCGTACAAAGTCGCCGGTCGCACGATAAAGAACAGCAGGATTTAAGTCCGTGCCGTTATCTAAATCATCAGTCTCCGGTATGTAGCAGCGACGTGTGGCACTGCCTAACCAAAGCTCACCACGGCCCACGTTTTGAAGATTTCGTTTGGACTGGAACTCAATGCGCAAAACAGTCTCATCGTCAATGGGCGTTCCTAAATGGACGCGCGAATGCAGAGATTGTAAAACGTGCATCATGCTCCAGCATGACATCTCTGTGATACCATAGATGTTACAGATTTGTTTTTGGAAAAGCACCTGTGGCTCCATCCAGGTGGCAAGCTCGGAACTGGACGGGAACGGTTCACCACCTAGTAGTAACACTCTAAAATAACAAAGCACTTTAATATACTTCCGATTGGGTGGAAGCAGTACCTACCTCAGTGTACTGGAACTGTTTAGTATCCGTTCGCGTATTGCGTTCGCACCAAACTGTCGAAAAAGTGATGGTGTCATTTGCAATACGGTGATGCCGGGCGTGGTAACACTCGTTGGAAAGAGGGCACTCAAGACGCGTTTGGGTGACTCGCGCATAGAATAGTGGGTGATAAGCACTGCGGCACCATTCTGCATCGCCAAAAATAGTTCCACAACAGATGGATCAAAGGTACAGGGCGTACCCAGGTAAATAATGTCAGCCATCGAAATGTTGAGCTTTTGACTATTTCAATAAAAGTTTAAAAATACAAATATTAAAGTCAGCTCTCATTAAACTAAGCTAGCGAGAGAATTAAAATATTAAAAAACTGGGTCTTTTTGAAAGCAGAGAATTCTTTCTTTCTTAACTTATGCAGTCAACCAGAATCGAAACCCCACCTGAGTCCCACTATATTTGGTGCTATGCATTCGTAAGGAACATGTATTAGCTTTGGCGCTCCTGTGGTGCCAGTGGTCGTTATTGTGTAGCACATGTTGGGTGGCAGAGCCCCCTTTGCCTCAGGCGAAGGATCACTGGCGGTATGCTTCAACTTGAACAGTTTGTACTCTTCGTTGTAGACCAGAAAGCTGTCGAGGTTCTGAAAGTAAACGGCACCCACAGGCATGTGACCGTTGACAATCAGGTAATCAATGCCAGCACGGTACATCTGCCAATGTAAAGCCTTCGACAGCATCATTTTGTCGTTGCAATAGAAGTGACATTTGTGATTAAGTATGCTGAAATGTATATTAGTTGAATAGAATAATGACGACTGTTCAATTCGCATTTCTACTCACGCGAGTATCAATATGCATGACGAGGGTGTGTGATTGGCAATGCGAAAGGCAATTCCTGTGCCCGTGGGCACTCCGTTGCGTCGCAATCTTTCCAAGATTGTCTCAACGCTACTTACGGCCTTGCGGTAGCTAATGGAAAAGTCCTGCGGCTCCATACGTTTTATAACAAAAGGCACGTCTCCAAATTCACGCAGCCGTTGTGTATCGAAGAGCTTCTTAGGCTCTCCCACAATCGTCGGCTCAATGTCGATTTCTGTCTTGAACTCGATTTGCAGTGTTTCCTCTGAGCCGGGATCGTGTTTGTGCTCGACACTGGTCTCAGCGTGAATAGCCGGGTCTGTCTGAGCCGTAAATTGGGTATCATCTTCGAGCTCGATTTTAATTTTAAAGGATTCCATTATCGCCAGGCGATGGCTTCGCTCTCTGCCATAAATATTTCAGGCTTAACACATAGCTTATTACAAAAATCACAGATATATCAATTTCAATTTCAATTCTATTCTATATATCTGAGCATGATGAAAAATTTTAATGATTTCAGTTTTTTGGCTCAAGACGATATTAAGCTTATTTATTTGTTTTTATTTTGCCATGTTCTACATTTTCAGCTGTTTGCTTGGAACAATCGATTTCTCTCCGATTCACTCCGATGAATATTCTAATCGACTAGAATATTCATCGTATTATGAACATGCAATCGATTGTTCCAATTAAACAGGGTTGCTCTTATTAGATTGGCGGATTTTTTAAACCTCGAGAGCCGTTTATCTACAACTACAAGCATTTGTTGGGTAGCAGAGCATATGATAAAAATGCATTGTAAAAAGGAATGCAAGAAATTATTTAAAAATACTATGAAAATTTTGAAATGCATTAGAAACAAGGTTTTTATTTACATGAAAAGGAGAAAACCCTAAAGACAACCAATTAAATATTCGTTTAAGCTGCCATATATTTCACATAGAGATTGTCAATAAACAATTTAATGGTGACTGCTTTTCACACAAGTAATCTCTATATAAAAGCTAGCTCTATATAAAAGCTAGCTGAAATTTTATCCACAAATTCATTTGAGATGTGTTTCACACTTTTCGGATTATGCACCCCTCCTTTGTGGAAATGGTGGTCAAAGATTCGGTTGGTAAAATTATGGATACACATTCATTTCCAAAAATCCTCGTAGAAATTCATTTGAGAAGTGTTTTACATCAGTTGCAGCATCTAAACATCCTTGGTGGAAAATGCGGATCATAGATTTTCTGCGCGACGTTTTTCGTGAAATTAATGAGAACGTTTTTGTGTATTTGCGTAAAATGGTTTTAATAAAGTTGTTTGTTTACCACCCGATGCGGATCAAAGGCTGTATGATGATAGTTAATTTTCCGACATAAGGATTCTCAAAGCTAGAAATCGTCATCTGGTATTATAGCTTATGTAAATGTGTGAATAAATTCTTTTGTTATATTTTCTTAAAGGGCTTTACAAATTTGTTTTGATAACTAATGTACATAAGCATTTTTACAACAGTTTATTTGCCACGTTCGTTATTTTTTTTTTCAAATTGGATAGCGTTGGCATTAAAAACAGTTTTAAACATACCCGCAAAATTGAATAACTACGAACGGAAATTCATTAACAGTAAAAATTATTCAAAAGATTATGAAATTGTTATTCATATGTTATTCATTTAACTTATCCATTAAACATTAATTGAAATCTGCTACATATCTACACATCTTTGATATTTAGAATATTAAGTATATTGTTTCGAATTAAAATACCGGTAATGTGTGTAACCTGAGCTTATACTACTATATAGTTTTCATAACTGTTTTTTTGAGTCCACAGATAGGGCCTCTTTACTCATTCTCGTGTATTCCTGCTGCATGGTCGTGCGGCAATGTTCGATAAGCTTCTCCATGTTTTCCTTTTCATAGCCATCCGTTGATATCTCAGGCAGTATTTGTATGACAACGTGTCCGGGTCGGAAGCTTTTCTTTTTCTCGTCAAAAAACGAGTATTTCGATACGACAACCGGCTGTATTGTGCACTTGCTTTGGAGCGCAATGTGAAATGAGCCCTTTTTAAACGGCAGCAATGTCTCCTTGGAATTGCGCGTGCCCTCCGGAAAGACTAATATCTTGCAGTTGCGCTCCCGTATAGCAATCGCCTCCTTTTGCAATGAATTAATTGAATCGCTCTTTCGCGATCTGTTAATATACAAAGTGCCCCAGAGCCAGGCGCCAACGCCAAAGAAGGGCATGTAAAGAATTTCCTTTTTGGCCACCACGGTCGCCCTTCCAATCACCGGCCAAAGATGAGCCAGCACGCACAAGTCCAAGGCGCTTTGATGGTTCATAAGCACAACACTCCCGTGCTCCTTTTTTACGTTCTCCACACCACGCACTTCCATGGTGATACCCATTATCCGGCACAGCTGCACGAAGCACCAGGATGGAATGCTTAAAATTGGAAGAACAAAATTGTTAGCTTTAATGAAAGTTTTCAGGTGCTTAACTTACAGCCCATTCCTGTAGTCCCTCGGCCGCAGGATCATGAAAGGAATGCACAGAGTAACAATTGCGCCGGCTCCAAACAGCACAATAAACATCCTCATCTGGTAAGGTGCTTTGGCCGCAATGCTCAAAATTAGGGCGACGACGCAGGCGAGCCCGATTACCTCACAGGTGCACGCCATGACAACAGTTTTATCTAGTACTGCGGAATTTTAATAGCATATAGAATAAATGATACAAGAAGCTAAAATGAAACAAAAATCGCAGAGAACTAAGTCAATATATTTATATATATATATTGATATAGTTATTTTATTATTATTGGAAATTCCACCCGCAAGTATGCAAGTATGTTCCGATCGTACTTAAACTCATTTTCAAAGACTTTCATTTGAAGGGTGTTTTACGCTTTTCGGAAAATACATTTTTATCTGGTATAAATGGGAGTCAAAGATTTGCTGTGTAAAGTTTCGATTTTAAATTCATTTCCACAGATCTTTAGGAAAAATCACTTGAGACGTGTTTCAGTCTCCAAGGATCGTCTGTGGAAGTGCGATTAGAAGATATTTTGGGCGAAGTATTATGTTTTCGAAAAGAGAACTTAACTAAACTTAAGAACTTCAAGAATACGTGTTGTAGCAACCCGCAACAGTGGCAGAAAGAGTTGTATAAGGGTGAAACCTTGTGAAAATTTAACTGATACGTGTCTCACACTTTTCGCAAATTCCGCCCATCTTGGATGACAAATGCGGGTGGATAAGGTCGGAGTTGTTAGTTCTGCCCTTCTTTCAAAGCCCTATATCAAAATTAAATGAATACGTTTTCAGAGATTTTGGAATTTCCACCCGCAACTGTGGAATGATCTTTGTGGGAATTTGTTTAATACAAATGAAAAGTTCACCGCTCTTGGATGGAAAATGCGGGTCAAAGGTTTAATGAATGAAAGTTGATTGTTCGGTTGTTGTCAGCGCAAGAAAAACATGGGCGGGCACTGTTGATTCCAACATATGGTTATTTTTTCGATGGACTTTTCACATATTTTGAAATAGAAGTAGTATCTTAAATTTGTGAAACAAAGCTTTGCACGGCAAGGCCAGGCAATACCCGGGCTATATATATATACAATTTTTAGATTCAGCTGTTTAACCTAAGCTGGGAATATATAATGTAGACGAAATATGGGTTCATATCATAAGCCCACATCAAAATGTTTTTTTTTTTCAAAATACTTTAAATTTGTCATTCTGTATCAAGGGCAACAATTTATAATAATAACAAATTCGTGGCGTATAAATTCTGTAAATACAGAATGGAAGGTTTCATTTTTCAAATTGATACCATTTGCAGGCTTTAGATATCCACATTATGTATATGTCATTTATATACAGTAGATTTATGAGAAAATAAAATGATATCTTGCACAGCTAAATCGATTTTAAACAGTTCTGCAGATAAGAGCCTGCCTGGCAACACAGGTACCTGCATATATATAGTATATATTCTTTATAGTATTTAATAATATCATCTTTCCTTCTGGCGCTTTATGGTCTTGGCTAAAGTACAATATTGCTCTTGGCAACTTCTTCTGGAAGCTTTAAGTTTGACGAACCACTCTTTCTTTTAATGATATTCTGAGTAATCAAAACTACTTTGTTTCTGACTCACAATTCTAGTTGAGTTTCTTCATGCGCTATTGCTATAGGCACGTCCGCAAAGGTCAGAGACTCGCACAACACTAAATGCCCTATCGTATCAGGTAAAGCCTTTAACAGCAAAACGACAATTACTAATGGTAAGGCGCTTATCAAAAATTCCCAATTTGGTCGAACGCAATATTTTGTTTAAATAAGGCACTGAACTTTGATATTATACTGATTCTTTGCAAATAAAATTCTACAAGCCCAACAACAACTAAGATGGTTCCACTCAAGAGTGCCCGATTAGGAGACATATTGTACCGAGCTCTAAATCACCGTGGAATACAATTCAACTAATTTCTATGTATGTGTGCATATTCCACATAATCGTACACAGGTTCACGTATTTTGTACCCTGAAAAAGACGTACAGAAGACCGTGGTAGTCTTTTTCTTTACGGCAGTCTACACCAAAGAAGGTCCCTTCTTGACAATCTTATTTATTTTTATTTATTTATTTATATGCATTTATTTTTATTGTCTTATTATTAGAACATTTCCTGGGCTTAAATGTGAAATTTTAATGTGTGCATTGATACGTGCTGTAAAAATATAAGATTTCAGAATAGAATATTGAAATTATGTTTATTTTTAGCAATTATCTTATGTTTTAACAGCTTTGATAAAAGCTCAAATTTGTAATAGTATATACAAATTAAGTTTTTTTTTTCATTTTATGGCTACTGCCAGTTCAAGCTTCTAGAATATAACAAGTAAGAGGTTCTAGACGGGAGCTCCCAACTAGGGGATACCCTGAACCCTCTTCTTCCAATACCAAATGCAAATATATATACTATTCTAGAAGCTACATGTCAAGTTTGGTGACTCTAACTCTTATTATTTACCATAATTTCCCAAAAAACATGATATCGACATCGATTCTTATCGATTACTTGGAAACGGGGCAAGTTATCGATTATCGCAAACAAACTCGATGTGCGCAGGCACTAGGAGAACCTACATCTAAAAGTTCTCTAGCTCTTATAGGTTCTGATATCCTTGCGTTCATACATACGGACAGACGGACATGGCTAGATCGACTCGGCTATTGATGCTGATCAAGAATATATATACTTTATGGTTCGGAGATGCTTCCGTCTACCTGTTACATACATTTACATTTTGCACAAATACAATATACCCTTTTTACCCATTTTCAATGGGTTCAGGGTATAAAAAGGTTAAAAACTTATGATCTATGCATAAAGAAAGGAGCTCTGAATCATTCATATTTTTCATAGAAATGGGAAATTTTATCTATGATCTTAAACAAACGAAATTGTTACTCAAATTGCAAATTGCAGAAGGACATGGCTAGATCAATCCAAATTCATATTATTATTATTATATCATCAAATTTCGTTATGTTGCCAATCACAAAAGAGAAGAGAACAAACACAAAAAATGTTCCCCGGGATTGTACTTCAGTTCTTATCAAGCTAGCCTGGCTTTAAGGGACAAGCTTGCCAATGAGGGCAATCTTCTTAAAGTATTTCCAGCTGGTATCGCATCTCTTCCGTTCGCCTGCACCTATACGTATCACTATAAGTCTCCTGTTGAATCCTACAGCCAGCCAAGGAGTCGTTAAACAGACAGACTTAGTCTAATTAAATCGCGTACGATTTCATTAAGTGAAAAAAGACAACACTGATAAGATTATGGCATGATTCCGACAAATGTCTATACATACATACATATGTATATTTCGAGACTTTAAGGCGTAAAATATATATTTACATACATATTATTACAGCTGGCAAAACAATTGGTTTAATATTTTTTAGCGATTTTAAGTTCAAAGTCAAATGTAAATGTACAAATGTTGCCAACTGGTCCAGCTGGAAATCTGAGTGAAATGCCAAATGAGATTGATTTATTTTAGTTGCCTGGCAATTTCGAAATCGAATGACTTATTTGGTAATGTTTAGCATATTAAAATCTTATTCATAGATTAGTCGCTGTCGCGTGACTTGTTTCACGCTGATCTTGTGGGAATGGATGGTCAGTCGGAAAAAAACTTACTCATCAACTTACAATATATAGAATAACTTATTATAGTTTTGTGTACTATTATGTAATAATATTTACGACGAATATTAATTTATATAATACTTTATGGTTATATGTATTACTAGCAAAGTAGAGTTGGGGCATTACGAGTCAGTAGGTAAAAGTAGCTGCCGAAGCTTAATAGATAGTCAGGCGCAACATGTTAGTTGCTAAGAAGTACATAAAACAAATCGTAAGCAGTTTGAAGGGATATTTGTTGTAGGGAAATTACAAGGTAGCTCATTACCTCACCTTAGAGAATATTTAATGAATCGAATTGAGTGCGCAGTAAAACTATACTAGGATACTTGAAATATTCTTTAACATGCGCGTATACATACATACATATATATGTATTTACGCATGTGTCCATGGTTGGCATTTATATACAAATTTCAACAGGATGATTAAGGAACACAAAGAAGGGACAAGCAAACAAACAGGCCCAGTATACCCACTTACTCAGCTATGGGACTGGGTAGTAAGTGAATTACAAATATTCATCTCTTGCGTTTTTGCTCGAACTGTTTTTGCTTTTATGCGTTATGCGTATGCCGCTATTAAACGACGACATTTACCGTTGCTGTTCGAATTTTTCCTATCGACGTAAATCGCAATTGAACCGTTGCACTAACACTGAAAAACAAACAGCTTTGTGAACATAACACGCGAGCCTTAAAAAAAATTGTTAATAAGGAAACTGTTCGTAATTAGATGTAAGTAGGAGGCAATTATTAATATGACCGGGCAATCATGATCGTATAGCTATCCAATACAACGTCCCACCGACGCTCGTGCTATACAAATGCCCGAATGCGACTGGTGACTTAAATGAGCTTTCGCATGCTCAACAATTCTTTTCAATGTATGTGTGCGCGCGCAATTGTGAAAATTAGAGGGGTGTGCGTGCCCTTCCTGCTCGTGCCTAAGCATACAACTCGTGTAATTTGAACGGTAGTCGTGACAGTGAAAAATGCGCATGAAGCGAATTAACTAATAAAGTATCGTTTATTATTCTCTGTATTTTTGACAATTGATGTATTCCATCACATTTTAGCATTAACAAATTTTATTCAACAAGTGCTATGATGAGTACATACTTATGTTTTTTCACGCAACCATCTCTAGATCCAAAAAAAAAAAAAAAAAATTACCCTATTTCAAACACATAAAGATAAGCAAGACCTCGTCCTACGTTTGAAACCAACAACCGCAACAAGTTTGTAAGAGACACACAGACAGTACATACATACATTTATCTGTATACATATCTAAATGATTAACAAATTATGTCCAGAGTATGCTTAAATTTTCAATAAAGTGTACGTAAATATAAGTGCGTGCACATATACAATATGTCAGTATATATACATATGTGTATGTATATTAGACAAAAATTAAGTTATAATACAATACAAATAGTAGATAAAAATAACTTATTACAATAATATCGACAATGTCGCTGCCAATGATCATAATCTACAATATTTTATATGAGTTCAACCAAATTCTAACCATTGACAATGCATTGCAAATAAAGCCTTCTTCCTTTTCTCCTTTCGCTTTTATTCATAAAAAAAAAAAAACTTTATCCTTTTGTAACCTTGAGTAAAAGTGACGTATTTGCAACAAACTTTGTGATACATTGAAGTTTTGGCAACATCGGTTGTGCGAACATTTATTATGATTTGAAGTAAGAGTTCGTATTAATTCAGAAAAAAAATATCCAAATTTGTCGTTTGTTGCTATGGTATCAACCTAAGACATGGACGTTTGGCTTTATTGCTTATAAAATATATTTAACAAAATATTTTTTATTTTAACAGTGCCAAATGAGTCGAGAGTCGATAACACTCTGAAGTAAGCGATGTAACGTGATATGTTATCAATATAGTCCTTAAACGAACAAAAGTGGTTTTTTTTTTATAATTTGTATACTTCTGACCAGTTTTACCAATGTAGCTATTTTCTATTGATATTATCTATTGATATTTTAGCCGGAAAAAATATCTTGCTTTTAAAAATCATAGTGATAATCGTAAATCTAATGTTATTAAAATTAAGCATAATTTCAAATATAGATAGACCATATTAGTTTTTACTCTCTGTCGATAGTCTACAATTTGTTTTTTAGTTTCGATGTGTTTCCGATAGTTCTTAGTTGTAAGACGCTCATCACAAAGAATTTACTCAGATGACACTGTTAAATTTCGAATGCAGCGGTAGGCACACAATTATCGATAAGCCTCGAAATATGTTTTTATTATGGATACGTCTACTTCGGCATCCAATCAGCTACCGTTTATCGTATATTTTGACTATCCAAAGCAATTTTGCAAGGCGTAGAAATTAAGGAAAATAATTTACGAAGCGTTTGGAAATTGTTTTGCAAAACGTTACTTTCATTTACGTCAAACGCATGCGTTTCCCTATTCATATATTGTTTTGAAATTCTCTTAAAAAGACCTAAACAACTTTAGCAAAACATATTCGTTCTTTTTTTTAATCTTAAGTGCATTGTTAGTTGGTCAGTATAAACTAAATATGCACAAATGGCTCGTACGGCAGCAGAGTCGTAAAAAGCCGTTTGACTAATAAACCCACAAAAAAAATGTTTTCCGATTATTGTTACCAGGGATGGTAATTTATTTTTTTTTTCCGCGAAATGGTGCATGGTGCTGTTATTAACAGCAAGCACTTAGTTGGGTGTTCGCTGTTATGTTAGAAATAACATTTTTATATTTTATTGTACGCGTTGCCGCTCATTTGTCGTTACAAAGTGCAGAAAAAAATGCTCAATTTAGGAACAGATGACGCAGGATATATAAATGAGGATAAGAAAAATCATGGAGTATCTATATCAAAACCAATGCCATGTCGTCTATGTCATTCACGCGTGACACTGACAACAGAATCGCCAAACATTTACGAAGCTACCGTGGATTTTGTTAAAGAAGGATGTGAACACGGCGAAGGCGAAAAGCACTTAATAGTCGATGCGTGCCAAAGTGTCTGGGGTGTAAAGTATGAGCGCCATGAGTGTTTACCGGAACGTATTTGTGTCCGCTGCCTGGAAATGCTCAAGGACTTCTATGAGCAGCGCCGGTGCATGCAACAACGTGAGGCTGAGCTGCAGCAAGATTTGAAAAACATTATTTCTCTGGATGCCAAGTACCGACCGGGCCTGAATGGCAATCCCGGCGTGTTTGAATTTGAGGAAGGCGAAGAAGGCTGCGTCATTGTCGACGTGGATCCAGACCAGCTTTGCGAGACCAGCGATGACGAATTCTTAGGATCCGATGGTGAGGCTGACCTTGACGACGAGGAGTGGGACGAAGAGGATGAGGAGGAGCCTCAAAATGATGAAGATGTTGATATGCCGCTCGGCATGGATGCAGCTCAAATGGCGCTCATGCAAGCACACCAAACTGCAGATGCCAGTGCCACAGTAAATGCACATCCCAAGAGCGCCTTTCTGTGCCAATACTGCGATCTGGCCTTCACACTGCAGCCAGACTGCCAACAGCATGAGCTGGGATCACACGACGTCTCTGCCCCCTACAGCTGTAACTACTGTCAGCTGCGCTTGACTACAAGGCCTGCTCTTATTGCGCACATCAAAGAGCAGCACGACGCTGAGCGGCCGTATGTATGCGCACTGTGCAGCAAAGGATTCGTTCGGCGTTCGGACTTAAAGAAACACACAATTGTTCATACTGGCGTGCGGCCCTTTTCGTGCCACGTCTGTTCCAAAAGCTTTTCACGCAATACCAATCTAACCAAGCACTTGCGTATCCACAGCAGTGTCAAGCCTTTTGTTTGCCAACAATGTCCCCGTTCTTTTCAAACTCCGCTAGAGCTGATGAAGCACACGCGCTCCCATGCCGAGGTCAAGCCCTACCAGTGCGGAAGGTGCCCTGCTTCATTTGCTCGCAAGGACAAGCTATCAGTGCACCAGCAAGTCCACCTTAAGCGCGATGTGGAGCAACATAATCAAAATGTGCGCATAAACATGACGGTGCCGCTGGAACAAATGCAGCTTCCATTACATCCCTACGTGGAAGCCGATGTATCTGTGCAGCAGCTTCCCTACTCCTATCAACAACAGACGCCGTCGCAACCAAAGACAAAACCACCATCGAAGATATCGCGCAATTTTCGCTGTGATGTTTGCGACAGAGGATTCCAGCGTGAGCGGGATCTACAGCGTCATCGGGCTCTGCATATGGATAGACTCTTTGCGTGCAAGATTTGCGGACAGGGCTTCAACCGGCGTGAACAACTGCAACGTCATGAGTTGGAGGCTCATGGCCCCAGCTATACGTGTGCAATCTGTTGCATCACCTTTCTGCAGCAGACGGAGCTGGAAACCCACCTCAAAGTACACGAGCTACAGCATAGTGTGGCCAAGAGCACACAAGAGGCTTTATTAGCCGCTGGAGCAGTACCGCTGGGTCATCCCATTGGCGAGCAGATTGCTGCCGCCAAGCCTAGCGTACAGGAGCCTGCTCAGATGGCAAACTTAAGGCCTTCGGCCGCTGAGTTGTCCTTCTATAGCAATATGATACCTACAATGAATCTCGGCTTTTACAGCGAGACGCGTCCCGAGGAGCGCAATGGAGTTTGATAAGCTATTATTTTTGTTAAGTTAAAAGAATACTGATCGTAATAAAGGTTGTTCTTATATTCATATTTTTTACTATTTTAGACTGACGTTGATGTTGACAAGTAGATATTCAGTATGGATTGAATTCTTTCGGACATTTGCCAAAACCAATATACTTCTTTTTACTCAGTGAACTGAGTATAATATTTGAGCATTTGACATTCTATTGACAGGGGGACGGAGACACCAAAAACTGTATATCATACGCAGATTAAGTCTTACTATAAGTCTTACTAATAAAATCTGGAATAAGAAATTTAAATTTGTATTGTAGAATCGCACAATTTCGGCCTATGTCTATAAATGACATTTGAGGATAGCATTTTTACATGAATTTTAACTCGTATTTTATTTGTAATCTGTCTTAGGACAATAATCAAATTGCTTAGCAAGGAGCTCCAAAGAGTTCAAACAATGTATTTTACATTATAGTTTGTGTATTTAACCTAATCTATGTGTGTAATCTTTTTTATCGTCGCATGTCCATACTACTGTCTAAGGGATCCATAGCCAGATTTAGATGCCAAATTGATTTAGAGACCAAACCTTGAACAATGAGTTTTGCCTTGTTCAAACCCGATGAGATTTGACAGGGTTATGGGGTTGGAATATTTTGACGTATGTCAAAGAATAGGATATAGGATATTTCAGGGTACCATTTTCACATGAATTTTGACCAAAAATAATGTTGATAGATTTAGATTCCAAATTGATCTAAAGACCATACCATGATGAGATTACGAATGTAGAGCTCTGTCCTTATTGCATTCTATTTTCCTATCTAAATATATATTTTGATTGGGATTTCATTCTTTTACAGTAGATTGATTTAAATTTCGTAGACTCTGCAGATTATTTCCTCTTCTTGTTCAGCACCCCTTTATTTTGAGCACTTATTGTTTTTCGAAATTCACAAAAAATTCACATCGATAATAAACATAAATGAATAAAATTTGAAAAATAATTAGATGTAAAGAAACATTAAATATTTACATGCTTTTCTGTCAAAGTCAAAGTCAAATAACTCACACCTGAGATGTCGCAGGGGAAGGAACACTTTAACTGTCTGTCTCTGGGAATGTTCTTCCAAAGTCTTGCGTAATATTTTGATCGCGTTGACATAGACCACAT